GTTGAAGCGCGTCGCCTTGCGTGCTAGTGGCTATGAGCTAGCCTGTTGCTACAGGCCGACTTCGACTGGGATGACTACCACCGTCCAATCGATATAAGGCTAACGATGCTTTACAGAGTTCAAGGAGATTCGCAAGGAATGGAAACAGCGCAAGAAGGAGGAGGAGGCCCAGCGAAAGGCCGAGGAGGAGCGTCAGCGTCAAGCCGCCGCCGCTGCCGCAGCAGCTGCTCAGAATGGTTCCGCTGACCCCCAATCCGGCGCTGATGGAGCATCGTCGGCATCCGCCTACGGCACCAGCCGTCAGGTTCAGCTTCCACCCATCGGCTATCAGCCCTCGCAGTACCCGGCACCCCCTTCCGCAGGAGCCGTGGCCCAGCAACCTCTCCCCGAGTACAACGGATCTCACATGTACTCGGCCAACTACCAACCTCAGTCACCCTACGGCCAGCCAAACCAGAGCATGTACAGCTCACGTTAGTTCAGACCCCCTGCGTTCACCGAGCACAGGAGGCTAACTGCACAGCAAGATAACGGTGGTCAGACAACGAGCCACTGAGGCGCGTTGACTTGCTTGGGGACGCCATCGGAAATGACCCAATATAATGATAGAGGGGGGAGAGAGCTTGTACATTAACGGGTTTCCTTTCGCGCGACGATTGCAGCTCAACGGCATCTGTCCATACGACTTTCCTCTCGTTCGGTTTTTAGACGCGCGGCAAAATTCTGGTTCACGAAGCGATATCCTATCCGTCTTGGGCTTGGGACTTTCACATTTGACGGAGTAGACGCACAGCATGGTGTCGACGCGTCACCAATTCTCACCGACTCGGGCATACATACCCCCACCCGCCTGAGTCGCTTCTACATGCGCATCATCACCCACCGGAATGCGTTTCTTTTCAATTTTACTTCTTCACATAACATGATGCATTGGGAAATGGCTTTTCTTTGGACCTGGTTTCTGCATTTATGAGGGTTTCGAGGGCGATGATTTGACGAACCGAGTGGAGGCTCACTCTGCGCATTTGGGAGGGGCGTTTGCGATATCGAAGTTTCTCTTCAGCGCCACGAATATGTCTTCTGCGGCACCTGCTTCACCAGACGGAGGCCTGATGGGAAACATTGTTTCGGCGAGCGCCCAGAACGCAACTTTCTGATAGCGGCCCCATCCCTCAAGTATACGTTTTCCTTTCCTTTTTGGACTTTAGTCCCTTGAGGCGGTCCTGCTCTTCGGGAACGGCGATCAGGATTTTCGGAAAAGGGTCCCTTTTTCTCGGGAGAAGGCGAAAGCACAGGGTTGGCAAGGATGGGCCTTTGGAGTGGCGAGATACCAGTACACGAACGGGTCAAGGGCGCGCGAGGGAGTCGAGATTGATTTTTTGGTAGTTGCGGAAAAAAGGGAAATGTATAAGACTTCTTTTTTTGGCAACAAAAGACATACCCTGTTCACTAAGCTCCACAACTTGATGGTGAATTCATTCGGTGATCAACGCGACAGGACAGCGTGCTGTATAAACCGAGATGCGAAAAAAACCTTGCGACCCACGAGAGTGGTTGGTAAAGAAGATCCCCCCATGCATCCCGCCGGCCCCAAGCTGTCTTTCAGCGTAGACGAGTTTAGGACGAACACCGTGTGGGAGGTAGGGCGGGCGGGGGGGATAGTGAGGCTGAGGCTGAAGCCGCTGAAGAACTTTTTTGGCGGGACCAGGGATGCTCGATGCTGTCTGTTGGTTCTGGGGGTGTTGGATGACGCAGACGCGCGGGCTGAGAGGCATGGATATGGATGATGGTGGTGGTGGTGGTGTGTTTGTTGGTGGTGGTGACACCATTCCGTTGCGAGTTTAGGTTCTGCGTCTTGGTAGTCTTTTTCTTACGTGCATAACCTGGAGAAGAGAGACAGGGTTCACTGCTTTGCCGAGTCCTCGGTTTTTTTTTTTTTTTTCTTCCCTTGTCTCTAGACCCGAGCCTTGGGGAGGACTTGAGCTAGTGTTGGATGGGGATTGATTTGGTTTTTTTCGTTGGTTCGGAAAGAAAAGATCTTGTGTAACTGGCGCTACGGGAGTGGGATGCGGGCAAGGGTTGGTTTGCGGTCTACGTTAGTGCCGAGGGCTTCTCTACTTCCCCCGGGGCCTTGTTTGCCTTGTACGCGCGGGTAGGTGCAGATGGGTAGCGTGGGATTTTCTTTTTCAAAGGGGACATCATTTTTTTATTGGAATTTATTGTTCTGTGGCGGCTGCATTGCATGAAGGGGGCAGGAAGGTTAGAGGTGGAATGGTGTGGGATATATGTGATGGATGGTTCAGAGGAGGGATATGAATATGCTTTCTCCTTCCCTTCCGAATTGTGTTTTTGCATTGGTTCTTGGGGTGGCGAGAGGGTGTGTGTAGATTAACAAGGGGATGGATGGGAGAGGGACCGAAGGATTTTGAGTGTGCATATCAGGATTGAGTTTTTTTGGCTACGATTTTGCTGTTCGTTAATGAGGGGTTGACATGAGGAAAGGCCAGCCAGGCCGCTGGGAACAAAAAGGCTTGTTTTTGTGTGCGGGTGACGGGTGAGGTCGAGGTTTAGGTTGAGTTGAGCTGACGTTTCGCTCCGCTCCGCGGTGCGGCGGTCGGTGTACCCGAGTTGCCGTGACACCGGTGCGTTGGTTCCATTTGAGAGCCTTACATTTTTATTTTTTTTTGTCTTTTTGTGTGAGGTTACCTTCTGCCGCTTATTCTTTTTTCTATTCTTGTTCTTATTTTTGGGGGGCGACTGGATTGTGTTACTTTTTTTCTGTGTCGCCACAAACATGTACTCTTCGCGTGCGTTGGGTTGTCGAAGTAGTTGGGCGTTTGTGCATGCCGCTCAGGGATTTCCTACCTCAGTGCAACCATATCATCGGAATTCTGGGCGCATGGCGGGGGAGAAAAAGTAAAAGGCAACCGATCGCGATCGGAGAAAAAGGTGTTTGTTTAGTGTTTGCTTGGTGCGTGCTGGCTGCAGCGGCGCCGTAGTATTGGGGGCCGCAATTGAAAGAAGAAACGAAAAGGAAGGGTGACAAACACAGATCGCGGTGGAGTTGGATGCAACGAGTGTCGTGTGCCTTGTTCCTCGAAGCGTCTTTGCGCGCGCGCGCGCGGTAGCTAGCGGCAGCGGCAAGCGGCAAGTTAAGCGTCATGGGTTGCGGACGCGGTGGGTAAACTTTTTTTTTCTCGGTTCGTGGGAAACCCCAGATTATTATTGACGGGCGGTGCCGCGCGTATTTAGCACGTTGCTTGGGCTTGGGTTAGTCCTCGTGGGTTGGCTTCTTTTAAGAATATATTCCCATGCGAGTTGCGAGGGTCTCTGCCTCTTTAGCGTCGACTTTATTAGGCTGTTCGGGATGTTGCGTGGTAATGACTTACTCACGTACCTTGACGAACTGGCGCCGATGTACTGTACATACCGACCCGAAGAAGGGGGTGGTGGCCCTGTGTGGTGTTTTTTTATTTTTTATTTTGGGCGTGGGTTCCTTTTTGGATTTTTGGCCCCCAAGGCGACGCTTCGGATTGTGGCGGGCGTTTCTTGGTTTTTTCCTGCGAGGTTGCCGTTTGGGAGACGGTGTTGTGGGTACCCATTTTTCCATGTCAGTTTCGGTTGGCGTTGAGCGTAACGGTTCAATAGGTAGGTAGTTGGTTGACAGAGTTGCTAGTTGCGTTTGGGACTCTTCAACTTGGTATGCTGACAGCATACCTAATGTAATGTACTGTAGATGTGACGATCAACTAAGGTCTGATTTTTCAAGTCTAAGATGATGAGTCATCTTTTCTTTGCAATTGGTGGCGCGTTGTTTTCAATTGAAACGCGGTTTATTCAATCCCTGTGTGGAGACGCTTTGCATGGTCTGTTGTCAAGTTGCGAGACATCTGGAAGGGTCCATTGTGTGAGTGGCGATGCTGAGGCTCGCTTATCGCTGTGGCTATCGTCGCGACGCTGCAAACCAACCTAACCTACCCCTCCAGCGAGCGACATTAATGCCTCCAATGTTGTTGCAGTGAAGGCCTTGGGAGAGAGTGAGCACCCGCAATCTCAGCAGTGCATCTAGTGTGTGCTACCGATGACGTAGTCTGCAGTCCAGCGACGTCAGGCCTGGAACAGGAGGGCCACGCCCAACGGCAACGGCGAGTTCCTCTGGGCTGCTGTGCCAGTTTGCCGTGCCGTGCTGCTGTCTTACACAGAAACGAGAAGGGGGGTCTGGAACGAAGGAAGGCGCTGGTCCTCTGGGGAAATTGAAATTTGCCTGCGGTCAGATGTGTCTCGCATGCAAAATCCAGGAGGGAGGCGAGAGAAGGAGCAGACTGTCCGTCGCCTAACCACCGCATGACTGCAGGAAGCGACGCTGATGGCCGCGATTGGGAGTGAGTGCCGTGCCGTGCCAGACTGGAATAAATCTTGGTTGCCTCCTCTGCAGCGTCACATTCCACGATCTTCTTTCTCGCTCCTTCCCTCCACCCTTTGAGTTTTTCCCGTGCAACTCTCGTTTCTATTGTTCGGCACCTTCGCTCGACAACGCCCGTCGTTCGCAGCTCTGCCGCTCTTGCGGTTTCCGACTGTTTACGGCCGACTGCCTTGAACCCGCCTCGACAGCATCTCCTCCGTTGCTGGGTGTATTTTATTTGTCTCGCCTTCCACCTCGCGCGGGGAGAAAAAGAAAACACTTCGCCGCCCAATCCTGCGCTGTTTGGAAAGTCGCAAGCAGACACAAACCTGATTTCTATCGCCCGTTTCCACCCTCGTTTCCTTCGCGCAAAACTTACCTCTGCAACACAATCACAGCTTCACAACCGACTCCAACGGATTCACCCTAATTTCTACCTGGAATCCAATTACGCATTCACTCTGCAATATTTTTGCTACGACACGATCGATATCCAGCAGGCTTAATCGGCAGACATTCAGCAGACTTCCGCGTACCCCTTCGCGCCTCTTCTTGTGTCATCATTGGACGGTAGTGGGACCGACCCAACGCCTCCAAAATGACCGCCGCCGCCTCGATCGACTCCAATGTTCGGCCCGCTCTGTTCAGACCTTCGGGTCTGCACAAGTCCGACTCCTCCGTCTCCACCACCGCACTATCCTGCAGATCCATCCGCGTCACCGGCGCTCATCCGCTCGGTAGCCTTCACGTCCACCAACCTCTCGATTCCCCGCTGTCCCAAGAAGTCGCCGCCATGAACCCCAACATCACACCCGACGACGACGAGCCGCCCCCTCTGGCCGACATTGAAAATGAGGATACGATGGACCTCGTCCCACAGGAACACCTGCAGCATGAGCACGCACTCGGTGGCGGCGACATCGTCCTCATCATGGACTTGCCCGCCGCTTTCACCATCGGCTACGACTCAGTTTCCTTTACTGCCCGCGAGTTTTTCGGCGTCAGAGACATCCCGCCCGGCCCGCACTTCTTCTGGGTCTCAGAGACCGAAGCCAGCACCACCCGTTGCGGCTTCTGGATCGTGAGCTCGGCCACGGAGAAAATTCACGTCATGCAGTGGGACAAGTTCAATGAGGTCGTCGGCGAGCCCGCCAGCCAGGTCGAGGCCCGCTTCCAAAAGGATAACATCCGCGACGTCTACCCCAAACTAGCGCCCTACCAGTTCCGCGCCCTCAACGCCAACGTCAAGCCCGCCGCGTCCGCCTCGCAGCCGCAGTCACAGAGCCCGGACCCCGAGTTCGCAAGGAGCACCAACATCTGGCAGCAGCTCACTAATGCCATTTCTCCGAGTCTGCTCAGCAGGATCACGGCGCGCCAGGCCGGCGACTGGGCGGTGCACACCTCCGACCGCGTGAAGGGCGCACTGATGCTGCCCGCCGAAGTTGAGCTCGAGAAGAGAATTCCTAACGTCGTGGCGAGCACCGAGCTCAACTTTACCTTCAGCCAGGCCGCGAAAACGTACGACGTGGAAAGTATCGGCTCGGCGCGGACGGAGCAGGCAGTTGATGCGACTGCACACCTCCTTACGGCGGGCATCAGCGACGACGATATTGTGGGCGAGTTACAGTTTGCCTTTCTCGTCGGCATGCACCTGGGCAACGAAGCCTGTATCCAGCAATGGTGGCACATGCTGGTGGCTCTCGTCCTCAAGGCCTACACGTTACCCCTCAAGCGCCCTGAGCTCGCTCGGTCCCTCTTACAGACTATTACTGCCCAGCTCGTGTACAACGAGCGTTATCTCGACGGCTCCGTCCTCGACTACGGTCCAGCCTACGCTCGGGATTTGAGGATGGCTTTGATCGTTTACAAGCGCCGGCTCAACGAATTGCTTCTAGCGCTCAACTCACTCGCCACGCCCGAGCAGGCCCTCGTCGGCCAGGCTTTCTCAGACCTCGAAGCTTGGGTCTGGAAGTTTGGCTGGGACATCCGGAGCGACTACCTTCGCAAGGGCAAGATGAGGCTCGAGGACGGCGAGGAGGTTGAGGTGGAGCTGGACGACCTCGAGGCGGAGGACGAGCGGGGCGAGTTCGCGCCCGAGATGGTTGAGCTGGACGAAAGCGGAAAGCAGAAAGATCTTGTCTCGTGGGATTAGAGCTCCGGGGTCAGGAGGCGCTTGTTGGAAGCAAAGGAGAGACGTCGTCGCAAGTCCCAGGCCCAGCAGGCAGCCAAGATGCTGGCGGATGCTGAGCCAGTGCTGCCTGTTGAAGCAAGGCAGCGTCGATTCTCATCTCGGAGAACATCAATCATTGATACACTGCGGCCTCGATCGTCGAGGAACTCTGCTGTGTTGCATGTTGAGTTTTGAAGTTGGAGTGACGTGCATGAGAATGGATTTGAGTTCACACGCGCGCACCATGCATGGAAAGTGGAGTTTGGGAAGGCAAGGAGTTTGGTTGGATCAGGGACTTTTTTTTTGGCATTTGGCATTTCAGCATGGGAGTCGTCTTGGCCGTTGCTTTGTTGGCGGGGAGGAATTGGTGAGGGCGCGCGTGGCTCTTTGTAATGATGGGAGGATGGTGTCCCTGTGTCTTTGATAATAATCATAACTCTGCACAATGATGTCTCGGTTTTGACGTAGTGCGGTGATGTATAGGTACCCTTGACCTCGTGTAAGAAGATTCCATTACTTCTTTATAAAGCGTGAGCTGACCTGAAGCTGTGACAAACCAGGCAGTGACGTGGAGGTCATGACGTAGAAGAAAAACCAGATGTGTGAGGCATATCTTCCCGGACCAAGTCTATAGACTGGGTCCTAGCAGCCCGCAGTTTGCCCAGCTTCTGCTTTGGGGCCTGACAACAGCGTATTCTGCGTGTACATGAGGTTGACGAAGAAGATGGCGGAAGACTAGAGTTCATGGCTCTGGAGCCTGAAGTTATCCTGCTGTGGCTTTCATGGTGCTGTGGAGGGGTGATATCCATGAATATTGTATATCGAGAGCTAGGGAGACAAATATGCAACCCACCCATTGTCCAATTGTTACGGGTGTGAGAGAGCTGTTGTGGTTTTATATGGGCGCAGAAGCAGGGTTGACAACTCGGTATTCGACTTTACGTTTGTGGATGCGGAAAGACGAGCTTGAGATCATGTCTGTGTCTCAGAGCTGACTGGCCGTTGCCCTCTCGTCTTTGCTTGTTACACACCACGGATTTCACGCATATCTGGAGACTAGTATGGCAATACGCCAGAGACGGTGAGAAGCAGCGCCTGTCTCTCTCGCTCTTCGGCTGCGTCTACGGCCCTACTTCGTGGCCTTCCATCCTGCCACTGTATCACGTTCAAATCACCAATTTTAAATCCTGAATATGGGGATTTATTTGACGGCGATTCTTGCTGATTCTCGGATGTCAATGTGCACATGGGTTATTTAAGGCACCGCCGAAAGCCTTGTTATGGGCGTCTTGTTCCTTGCCGACACAGCTGAGCTACCTCTCTCTGGCTTGACAGCAGCACTGACCTAGTATCCCAACTTACCTCAGAGGGGCCTGGCCTCCGAAGTGTATATTATAGCGTCTATTGTTTTACTAGAAAGAACAAGCCGAGATCGTCGTCGTAGACAGCAAGTGTTCCGAGAGAGTCAAGTACTGAAGCAGTTTGCAGACCGAATTAGTAGATTCAGACTCTTAAAATGATCTTTATTATCTTGGAGACATCTCAGCTGTTTCCCGGCGTTGCTGTCATTGGATGAGTATTTGTTTCAATCACATGAAGGGATTGGTGATCTCTACGATGGAACATCCAAAAGAACGTCGCTTCTTACTATTACAACGACTTGGTATATATACTATTGTTCTCCCTCCCATTACGCCAGATTTTGCCTGGAACGAGCCAATCTTGTCGGTGGTTCCACATGATCATGGTTGAGTTTACTCGGCCCTCTCCGACATGCCTGTGGTAGTTGCTCGACTGCGAGATCAAGGGCGGCCTGTTTAGCTTTCATCTGAGGGCCTCCCTCGACTGCACCATTGCGAGATTATACACATGGGATACACTTAAGAAACTGGTAAGACAGTTCCACTTGACGAAGGACCGCTCAGGTTTGATGTGGCATCGTCCAGCAACGATCATGACTTGCGCCATGGCACGTTAGCAAATCTCACCGCCCAGTTCCATCCAAAGAACCCTGGTTACATTGGTTCCTGTTCTAATACTGTCTGAAAACCAAAAGGTATCTCCTTTATAGTATGTATCTGGGCTTGAACTGTATACGGCCGTGGAGAGGAACTGATCCGCCACGGCAAGAGTGCCGATGGCCTGGACGCTCTGCTTCAGTTTGAGCCTTGACTTCGTGGATATACTCCAAGACAAGCGCTTCACACTCATTTAATCAGGATGCAATTACCAGGCTTCGATAGGGCGGGCAGGAAGGCGGATCTGGGCAGACAGTCAAGAAGGATTTGTGACGTGAAGGTCTCGATGACCAAGGCCACTGGACGCACCACTGACAGGACAGGACCCAAATCAAGACTTTCCCGCTGTCAGAGAAAAAGGGTAGACATGGCGGTAATAGGACTGCCTTGAATTAAACCTTCTCTTCGTTCGCGGACGGTCGAAAGGCTGGGAAACCTGTTGGATGAGCGCAGATTTGTCAGGACGTGATGACAGACAGTTCAAGAAGAAACAAGAATAGGAAAAACCACAAGGAGTACAAGCTCCCAAGCAATAGTAAGGAAAGGTTCTAGCCTTGGCCCGCGGGAGCTTATTTTACCTCAATCTCCGTCGACGTATCTGCCCCAGACATAATCGGAAACGAAGACGGACAACACCAAGCTAACACACGTTAACACACGTCTTGACGACCGGGGCTTCGGTAGCCTCACGTATCGCGCAAACATCTTCACAGAAGGGAGAGACCAGCCAGCATCACACCATTGTCGCGTAAACGTCGTTGGATGATTGTCCTATTACTACCTAGCAGGATACCGCCCTCACGGCGAGCTTTGCCTGGCATACAGTCATCTATCAATAATGCTCGACTTCAGAGCCAACCCAATCTTTTGCTCGTGGAAAGAGCGTCAAAAGTCACTGGACCCAACGGAGGGGGTCTCTAATGCTGTTCCTCTCTCGGCATTCTTCGTTGTGGTCGTCCTCGTTCCCTCTCTAATTTTGTTCAACCTGATCCACGTTTTGGCCATGAAATAATCGCAAACAAACCCAAAGCCGATATGGGCCCAAATAAAAGAAACACTAAGGAAATGAACAGCCTTGAAAAAGATACCGACTGCGTGGACACATGGGCGTGTCCGGGGTACCTCGAGTCTAAAATCCGTCTACGTGAACGCCGATATTGCGATGGAAAGCGCAGGATGCCGCCGCATGTAAACAATCACCTCGCTGTCGGGCGAAGTCCTTACCAGCGTCGGGCGCCACCAAGGGGAGCGTTGTTGGCATTGTTGTCTGCGAACGTACTGTTAGCATATGTGTCGAAGGCGAGGAGTGAAAAACATACTTCTACCACCGCCGCCGCCACCACGTCCACGGCCCCAGCCGCCGTAGCGACCGCCACCACCACCTCCGAAGCGGGTCATCTCTGCGAGACGAGGGTCGATCTCTTGGCGCGCTTCTCTCAGCACGTTAACAAGGTCACGAGCCTGCTTGGAGTCTGCAAAGTTGTTAGCATGATTGGATCAAGATACCAGACAAGGAAGATACTGACTGTCAGTGGTGAAGAGGGTAATGGCGGTACCCTTGGCACCGGCACGACCCGTACGACCGATACGGTGGATGTAGTCCTCCGAGTTGTTGGGGTAGTCGTAGTTCAGCACGTGAGTAATGTTGCGAACATCTTATTAGAAGGGTTAGCAGACGCCTCACGGTGGGTATAGCAACGTTCCAGCATGGAACCAGACATGTTTGATAATTATATCAGGCTGTCTTTCACTCCGTCGGAGACGGGGCAGTCTGTATGCGTCAAATGCCATCCTGGAAAGTTCAGTGTACCGGGTCCTCGGGCTTGGGGAATCTTGGGGACAGCTTGATGGAATCAAGATATGCCGTATCCACGCTTGTACCATTGGCAAAAGGCAGGCACAAGAGTGGGAAAGCGAGTATAGCAAGCCAAAGGCTACACACCAGACCAAGACTCCGCTCAGAGGCAGAGAGAACCATGGAGACACGAATGCATCAGGCAAAATTGCGCAATCAAGAGAGCCCCTAGACATAAGAGTAAAGTACAGCGCAAGGCTGCTGGAAGTTGCCATGAGGGTTGGGGGGTTCTGATACTCACCAATACCACGCGACGCGACGTCCGTAGCCACCATGATAGGGCTCTTGCCCGTCTTGAACTGGTCAAGGACCCAGTCACGCTCGTTCTGCTGCTTGTCACCGTGAATAGCTGCAAAGTTGTTAGCTGTTGATCAGGCAAAGGCAAAGGTGGAGACGTACACAAAGCAGGCCATCCGTCCTGGCGAAGGAAGCGAGTGATGTCGTCAGCTACACGTTTGGTGCCGACGAAGATGAGGATCTTGTTCTCCTTGTTATCCATGACCTTCTCCAGGTGCTTGATCATGCGGTCGCGCTTCTCGCTCTCAGAAACGACCTCGACGATCTGGGTAATGCGGTGGTTGGCCGCGAGCTCCATGGAGCCGATGTTGACCTGGATGAAGTCGGTAAGGAAGTCGGAGGCAAGGGCGCGGACCTCCTTGGGCCAAGTAGCGGACCACATGAGGGTCTGACGGTCAGGGCGAATCTGGCCGATGATCTTGCGAATCTGGGGCTCGAAACCCATGTCCAGCATGCGATCAGCCTCGTCGAGAACCAGGTAAGTAACGCGACGCAGGTTGGTCTTGCCAGCCTCAAGCATATCAATCAGACGACCGGGGGTGGCAATGCAGACCTCAACACCTCTGGAGAGATCGCGGATCTGAGGTCCCTTGGGGACACCACCGTAGACGCAGGTGTTGCGAATGCGGGAAGACTTTCCGAACTTGGAAATCTCCTGCTGAATCTGGACAGCAAGCTCACGAGTAGGAGCAAGAATGAGGACGATAGGACCATCGCCGGGGGCCAACAGGGGCTGGGCGTTGATGTGGACGATAGCGGGCAAGCAGTAGGTGAGGGTCTTTCCGGAACCCGTCTCGGCAATACCGACGACGTCGCGACCGGACAGAGCCATAGGCCAGCCCTGAGACTGAATGGCGGTAGGCGCGGGGAAGCCCTGGGCCTTGACCTCGTCCATCACGTATCTGGGGAAACCGGCCTCGTCAAAGGTTTCGACGGGCTTGGGAACATCGTTGCCAGCAATGGTCATCTGGTGCTTGCGGCGGAAAGAGTCGACCTCGGCCGGGCTGCGGGTGGCAACCTCCTCGTGCTCCTTGTAGAAGGACTTCTCGAATTTCGGGAGAGAGTTAAAATCTGTTCGGCAAGGGTTAGTAAATCGTTCTGTGGCATTCTGTGATGATGCATACTGACCCCATTCTTGCTGGCGAAGACCGGCGCCAAGGTTGTTCATGCGGTCACCGCCGCCGCCGCCGTAACCACCACCGCCGCCACCGTAGCCGTTTCTGATAGGAAAAGATCAGCAAAATGATTCTGATAATGTGCTTGAGACGACGCGAAATGCCGACGTCCGCGTGCTGTCGTATCGAGATTGCTTCAGGTTGGTTACAGGCGGTCGTCAAATCGTGTTGTGTTGCGCCAAGCCCCCAGTAGCCTAGCCTCGCGAAACGACTTTGTCGGAACAAAAGGGGAGGAGAGAAATCAATCAAAACTTACCCGTTGGAGTAGCCACCGCCGCCGTAGCCACCGCGATCACCTCTGTCGCCGCGATCACGACCACCGCCGTAACCGCCTCCACGACCTCCTCCGTAGCCGCCCTGGCCACCACCACCGTATCCGCCGCCGTAGGACATGTTTGTGCTAAAGAGGCAGTGAACGCGCAAGAAGCTTGTTTGTCGATGGTTTCGCGTATGAAGCGATGTCAAATGGCAGAAAGAAAGACCGTGGATGGGAAGAGCACGCAAGTAGAGCTCTTTTCTGGACCGAACCGAAAAGAGAGTTGGTTGCGTGAGATGGGAGTTTGTGATGGGAGAGGGAGAGGGATGCAGAAGGGAAGGAAGAAAAAAAAAGAGCAGGATGGATGGATGGAAGGTTTTGGGTGCGCAAGGCGTTTTGCTGGGGTAGGAATTTTTTTCCTCGCTGCCAAAACTTTTCAGCGGCGACAGGCAGGCGCTGCCAGTAGGGACCTTGCAATTTTGCTTGCTAAGGTAAGGCAAAAGAATACGTACCCCCTACCGCCGGACTGAGACTGCCTTTCGGGGTGGATGCAACCCTGCAGAACTGCTGCACGTGGGACCCGCTTCCTTCTTATCGGTATGATTAGGTAACGGTGGATCTGACTCGCGATAAGGCACCTTCGTGCTTTGCAACATGACCCATGACTCTCTCTCACCTGGGAGGTTTGGACGACGTATCCATTCCCTCAGAATTTGCGCGCTGTCTGCGGGAACAGCTGCGAGTGATTGGAAACCATCTGGCCTCATTTCGAGTTACATATGCCAAGCAGGGAAGCTCTTTCTTCTCTCAGTGTTTGGCGTCCGTAATGCTGCGGCATGCATACCCGAGCTGGGCTGTCAAGGAAAGAGAATATGCGGTATTCCATCGGACGACAGATACCTGAAGAGCACAACGGTGCTTGGCTTTCTGGCCCGAGTCCCAGCTGACCCGCCTGGACTACCTTCTTTTCTAGCAGGGCGCAGTGTATGAGGCCGTTTGAGACTGCGAATGACGCCAGCAGCCGGACCTCAACATCCTCCACATCAATACGAGCTGTTTGAACAATGCCGTCGGAGAGATTCTTGCCGACGTTTTGAATTCTAGTCTAGTCTTTGTTGAACGGCCCCTCTCTCTGTGTACTCTATGGAACCCATGGACCAACGTGTCCGGGTTTTTTAGCATATCATCGGTAAGGGAACATTTCCCAGAAGCCGATTTCCATCTGTTCGTGGGTCAGCTACGGGCCGGAAGCCTCAACTTCTGCAGGGCTTACCTTGGTTCCATGAATAAATATCTTGATCAGACGTTCTATGCTGGAAGGACTTTGCAAAACGGCATGTCTCTCAATCAACTCAGAGCCCGTCTTCACGGCCTGGACGTAGTCATCGGCCACATAGTTCTCGATCCACTTCCAGTACGTGTTGTCGTCCCGTTTTGTCTTGACATCGCCGTGTAGCTGTTTAGCCACGGCACCGTAGCCCAATAGACAAGGAGCCAGGGCCATCTGTAGGGCGATCCAGTCCTCGCTTTGTCCGACATCGAGGACGTAGCGGGTGTAAGCCGTGCATGCTTGGTGCTCTTCGGTGGCCTCAATTTCGGGCACTGTGATTCCGAAGCCCTTGCAGTAATCGATGTGCAGAGACATCTCGCGGGCGATATGGCTGACAATGCTGGCACCTGCTGAGATGTCCGCAATGTTCTTCGCCTTGTAAGATGCCAAGGAGTTGGCTCTGGCGAAATGAACCTGCCCAAGTCAGCAAGGATTCAATGAGGAGGGAAAACATCACAAACCAGATAGAGGTAATCCTGGATAAGATACTTCTTGAATGACTCCAAAGGTAGCGTCCCATCGCCCATAGCCATAACGAAGGGATGGTACACAAACTCTGACCATACGTCCTTGACATCAGGCCTTGCCAGCATGTACTCGATGAACCGTCCCCTAGATACTGTCAGTTGAAGTCACCGCCGAGACGGAAGAGGCAACCCACGGCGCAAAAGGCAGGGTCTGAATGGAGTGAAAGTGATTTAAAGGCCCATGCCCCTTTCCGTACCCAGGCGCTGTCCGGATCGCAGCCTCGATATACCTCACCCCAGCCCTCGCAGCTTCGGGTACGCTCAACCCCTTTGCGAGGCCCGACGCAATAGCAGCTGCAACCCATCAGTATCACTCTTCAGACAACGTGTCAAAAGGAAACTCACATGCAAGCGAACAGCCAGTACCATGCGTGTCTTTCGACGCTTGATACGGGCTCTCGATCCTCACGAAGCCTCCCTCGCCATACAACACATCCACAACAACCTCCTTCTCTTCCTCCGTCTTCGCAACGGTGAAGTCCGCCTTGAACGGCGCATGCCCGCCCTTGACAAGCACCCACTCGGGTCCAAGACCCTTCACCTTCCGCGCCATCTCCTCCAGATCCGCCACGGAAGCAACCTCGGCGCCCTCAAACCCAGCATCCTGCAGAAGCAACTTGGCCTCAGGGATGTTTGGCGTAAGAACCGTCGTAACCTTCAACAAGCCCTCAAGCAGCTCAGCAACGGCATCTCTCGGGAGAAGCTCCGCGCCGCTGGTCGCAATCATGACGGGGTCAACAACAATCTTCGGCACGCGATGCCTCTTCAGAGCCTCGACGACGGTCCCAATCGTGGCAGGCGAAGCTAGCATACCTAGAATCCCGCCCTCGTCAGCCAATGCAGCTCCATGAGAAAAAAGACCCAGACATCGAGAAGCGAAGGGTGGAAAGGCGCAACTTGCCAGTCTTGACGACGTCGACGCCGATGTCGTTTACGCAGGCATCAATTTGCTTGACCAGGAAGTCCTGCGGCACATGATGAATGTCGTGCACTCCCGTGGTGTCTTGCGCAGTGAGAGCGGTCGTGGCCGTCATGGCATAGCACCCATGAGCCGCGATGACCTTCTGGTCTGCCTCTAGCCCGCTGCGAAACAGAAGGCATCACGTCAGTGAACTTTGCTTCAAGGACGGGAAAAATCTTGGGTGATTACTCACGCTCCACCGGAGCTATCCGAGCCGGCGATGACCAGTACTCGCCCAGAGACCATGCTTGCTTCGCGGAAACCGTTTATAAAAATCCTGGGGAAATCTGAGGTTGTGGTCGAGGACCGCTACGGCAGACGATGTTACTTGAAGCTCCGAAGCAGGCACCCGCCCGGGTCGGTTGGCGTCGGAGGCCGTGGTGGTTCGTAGATGTCACTCAAGGTGGGGGCGGGGCAGTCACCAAGTTTTCATGAGGTAAGGTATAGTACTCCTGAGTACTCCAGAGCACGCGTTCCCTTCCCACCCCCATATCCATCAATCACGCCTCCTCACGATACTTTGGATGTCAATCAAGTCCTCGATGTCAAATGCAAAAAAATAACGAGATGAGTGAACCAGTGACTTTTGAATTGCCTTCCTGCCGACACCCTACTCCCCGGGAATCGATACGCAGATGGCCGCCCGACTCCATCCTATCCATTGCTCGCTCCCAAATGGACATTTCGTGATTTCTCGTAGAGTTTCTCTGTGCTTGGCCTGAAACTCGGCCAATTGATCGACGTATCCATCTCCCCAGATCCCGAGATATAGTACAAAAAAGACCAATAGTAACAAAACGCCTCATCATGGGTGCCACCAACGCATCTTGAAATCCACCTCATTTCCCTCCACATGCGAGATGCCCCGTGAAACTGTGCGGCTCTATAGTACAACGACGTAGCTTCACGCCGTCTCCGCAAAGTCATCCGTCTGATCCGAACTCAGACTGTCCGATCGCTCTGCCCGCGGCTGATGGTTGTCCTTCTCCAATTCGGACGGGTCTGATATGCTCCTCTGCCTCTCAGTGCGGTTCTCATCCCCAGAAGAAGACCCATTGTCTTCTTCCTCTGCTTCCTCATCTTCGTCGTCATCATCGTCGCTGTCGCTGTCCTCATCGAACACGATTCTTCGAAGAACGTTCTTGTCGAACATTTCTATCACCATCCGCCTGATTGGTAGGCGATAGTGATTGTATTCAAGCATCGTCATGATCCGCTTGAACATCTTTGGTGACCTAAAGCCCGCTACCTTGTGCTGCCGGATCTGCATCAGCTCGCCCATAGCGCGCTTGTAGAGAACCATGTTGCCGAGGTCAACAACCAAGTCGAGGATTCGCTGGTTAGTGGCAACCTCGTCGGTGAAGGCTGGTAATTCCTCCTTTTCCAGGGGCGGGCGAGCTTCGGTGGGAGGTGGCGGAACCAAGTAAGTCTTCTGCGTGTTGGGGAGCGCGATCTTGGACGCAATGGCATGCTTCCAAGGCTTGAAAGAGAAGAACTTGGTCAGGTCGTTCGGGATGCAGAAGCCCAACGATTCCCCCCTAGGTGACAAGTTGGAGTCCCAGCCGCATTCCGAGAGAATCTCAAGACCGTGCGCCGATCTTGAGATCAGTCCCAGCACGAAGAAGGCTGTACCTCGCAAGCTCATCACCTCATGCTCTTCGGCAATCTTGACAATGTCCTCCACGACATCACAAGACTCAATGAAGGGAGCTCCCAGCTCCATTGAGCCTACGTTGCCAACAGCCCACATAGATGCTTTGACTTTGAGCATGAGCTCAGGGTCCTCCGACTGCATCCCGTATTCCTTGATAGTGCTGGCAAACTCTGCAAAATGCCCCTTGTCACTCAGCAGTTTGCAGCCCTCTTGTGTGCGTGCAAGCTCGCGGTAAAAGTGTGGCGGAATGTGGTTCTCTGGCTCAGCTTCTGCTTGAGCTTCGTCCACCATGTTCATCCGGTTTTGGTGTTCTTCCGGGTTCTCGAGGAACGCCTTCGCCAGACTGGTCTCAATAACACCAACGTACGAGTCGTTCCGGCCGAGGAACCAATCATCCATCTCGTTGCTGATATAGTCAACACCGTCGAGGTAGTGGTAGCCGATCGAGGAGGACAAGAACCGAAGGAGGAGAGGGGCGCCGATTTCTCCAAGATGGTCCATTGTTGGACGACATTGGACGACGTACTCCAGATATGCCTTCTTATTGCACGCCTTCTCGAGGATCTTAACCGCGGTCCGGCAGACCTCTACCTCGGGGTCATATAGCTGGTCGACCAACTTCTCTATCGCCCACTTCCAATCCACCTTGCCGTGAGACGGCTGCGACGCGTCAAAAGGTCGAGTGGCATATTTCCGCAGGACGTTTGTGGCAATGATTCGAATCTCCCTTGTCCCAGACGTAAGTGCCTGTTCGATTAGCACTCGAGGGTGGCCTGGGACGCTGTAGTCGAAATTGGCGAGGAGAAGTTTGATCAGATCGGGACGTTGCTTGTGTCCAAGGATGTGATACATCATGTTGAACATTCTCCATCGCTGAAGAAGCTCTAAACCTTTGGGATCGCCGCTAAGAACCCCCAACATTGGGAAGTAGCCGGCACAAAGAGTGCTCTGCAGGCGACCGGGCGAGAACATTGGATCGGCAGAAGTGAGTCCACTGCTCTGTTTTGTATGTTAGTCTTTGTCTGGATGGCGCTGTTGCCATAGAACTTACTGGATCACACTGAGCGAGGCATTCCGCTATTTGTCTCAGCAGCTTATGATCTTGCAGGTAGTCGACACCCTCCGGTGATTGCAGCAAGGTGTGCATCAACGCACAGCCAACTCTGACGTACTTTTGGGTGTTCTTGTTGGTCGACAGGTCTGAGAACCGGTGCTTAAACGGCCTGTAGAAACTCATGATCCTGTTCATGAACTTGGAAACCCTGTTGACTTCGTCCAGTCGTTTGCCATCTTGAAGCGGCCCATCGATGATGCGGGAGATGACATCCCAGTTCCACTTCATGTAATTTGAGCTGTTCAAGACGTTGGACTCGACTAGCAACTGCCGGATTGCGCCCTCTTGAACCACAACTCCTGCGTTGCCTTTGCGGTGCATGTCTGCGAGGTTTCCCATACTGTCACTCGAGGGCAGAGCGCCAGCAGTGGCGGATGACGAGGAACTCCTATACAACGTCTTGCTCACAGAACTTATCTGGTACACTATACCTGACGCAACGAATCTATTGTCATCCTTGAATTGGGTGGCGGCAGCAAAGAGATCGGGAAGTAATGGCAAGTCATTGCTCCAAGAGGCGGGAAGCAGTCTGCTGGACAATTTGAGTACCTCACCGATAAGAAGGCAAGTTTTTCTCGTCAAAGCCGGCTCGCTTGTTCTGGCAACTTGGAGCAGATTTTCCAATAAACCAGCTTTGACAAATGTCGCCAGGAGCAAGGCTGTATAATGATCCATGAAGTTCTGCTCCCCGCCGTCATCTTCATGAGGCATGCTGATGGCCAGTGGTGCTTGCTGATTGGGCATTGATTTAAGGCTTGCCACTCGTCCGTATGTCGTCAACCTACGGCCGGCAAGGAACGAGGAGGCCCACGAGGGAGATTTGATCCGAAGTAGCAGGTAGATGAGGTCAATGACGGTCTCTCGGATGGCCGCCTGGGGGAGCACCATGCTGGTGAGCAACGACTTGATGGCTCGGGAGTCATGCATTGTTAGCATCATGAGACCTGGCCAGCTCTTCAAGATTTTGGTGATGGCTTTAGAGTTTTGCTTTAGCAGGCTCTCGTTGGCGAGAATTATGTCTGTAAACGCCGTGAAGAGAACCTCCAGATCATAACCAGAGCGCAAATAAATCCTCTTCTGTGGGTTGTCCAGAATCTGCATGTAAGAGGCAGTAAGGGTTTCTGGTGACTTGTATGTGCCCTCAATGAGCGCCTCTGAAAGTGGCGACAGACCTCCAGAGGCTACAGCCAACGCGGGGTCGCGGAGCATGATTTCGGCTAGGGTTTCCAGGCAGATCGACCTGAGGCGGTCCTCAGCTTGCTCTGCAACAGCTGCAACGGTGCGAACGACGGCCCTCGAAATCTCCTTGACGCCGTCCTTGACATCCAAAAAGGCTCGGACAAACTTAAGTGCTTGCTCGCGCTCTAGATCAGCTTTTCGATCCTTGATCAAAGATCTGTCCAAAAGTTAGCTACATGTCCTTGCCAAAGAGATGAGATGGAATAACTCACGTCACGACAATGATATCAGTGTTTAAGCTGCGAATCTTCCTCAAAGATGACACATCTGATATGGCGTATCGAATCATCCTGTAACCGGCTGCTACCACTTCCCTGGCCTCGCTGAGCAGCATGACTTGCATTCGTAGACCAAAAACAGACCAGACTAGGTCGTACTTTAGAGTCGGGTGCCTTCTGAAGAGATCTACAAGGCTATTGCCGCGGCTGACATAGTATTCAGGAGGCATACCCTCCTGCTCCAGTGCCTGAAGCAGCTCAGCCAAGAGGAAGGTCGGCGACTGCTCGGCCACATCCTCGGCGTCAGATCCTGCACCACTGCGGGAAGCACTGGGGGGCGATCGCAAGCCGTTGTTGGGCGGAAAGAAGCCGTCGGTTCTTTGCCTCGTAGGCGTAGTGGGCGTCGTTTTCAATCTCTGGGCGTCGGCAATCTTCTGTCGTAAGAGCTGGATACGCGAGTTGGATGCCTTGAGCTCGGCCTCCACCTTGGCCCTTTGCTCTTTCGTCTGCTTAGCCTTCTTGGCATTCAGGGCCTCAAGCATGTTCTCGCTACCATCCTTGATCTTCATCTCGCGGTTCAGCTGTTCCCGCAGATTGGCGAGGGCCTGCTCGGCAGCAGAGATGC